ATCTACTTAGTGCATGGTATTTTCAAATCCTGTCTTGTCTTTGTCATTTTCACCATGCTTTGTGTTTTCTTGGGCATCACCCATGCCTTTATTCTTCTTAATTTCATTCTCCTTAATTTCAGTTATCTATTTTTTTGAGTCTACTTTAAACTCTTTGAATTTGTTGTTGAAGTTTATGACTGTTCTTTTAAGTTATGCATCTTAGGAGCCATCCTATGAAACCTAGGTCCTTTCCACCAAATGAGTTGTCATAAATGTCAGTGAGTAACCAACAGGACTTTAAATGTCTGGGGATTTGGAAGACTTCAGAAATGATTCATATTGATAAAAGATGGAAATTTTGGAATAATCTACCAAGAAACAACACTTGAAATAGTCTTAGTGATATGATTATGTGTTGTTTTAATGAATGAAGGCTTCAGGTTTACAATGTGCCTAAGCTAGGCATTTTCCTCCATTGTTACTCTCTTGAGTTCCTTCCTGATTTATATCACTTATTTGTCTGATTTATACCACTTATATGTCTAATTTATATCACTTATATGTCTACTATGTAGAGAGAAAATCATATATATTAAGTTCACATTTGTAGAAAGCCTGAAATCACAGAGTGTCCAAGTAGCCTGATAAACACTGAGAGATATTGTATCGTATTTATCACTTTGAACTTTGACAATGGATCTGTAAGTTTTGCTTCATATGGTGAGATTATGTCAGCTTGACACAAGCTAGGGTTATTTGGGAAGAAGAGACTTCAATTGAGAAATGACTCTATCACAATGGTATGTTTGAAAGTCTTTGGAGCATTTTTATTTTATTAATGATTGATGTGGGAGGATCCAGCCTGTGTGTGGGGTTACCGCTGGACCAGTATCTTTGAATTGTTGAAGCTGAGTGAACAAACCACGGAGAACAAAGTAGATGCAAGATTCCTCCAGGATCTCTGCTTCTGTCTTTGCCCCCAGGCCTCTACTCCATTTCTTGCTACAGCTCCCTTCAGTGGTAGAAGGATATGTTGTTGGTCATGATGTTTATCATAGCAACAGAAGAGCTGCTGATACAAAGTTATTGTGAAGAGTAGATCAAATCATAACAACACTGTTTGGAAAGAGCCAGGAACACAGATTCTCAATGTAGGGTAAGAATTTTTGTTCCAGTGATCAAGGTGCCAATAGCATGATGTTGGAAGCAGCACAATTTGAAAATTTAAGGAATATGATTTTTGATGTTTAGAGAACCTGAAAGTAAATATGAAAGACAAAAAATTAGATTAGTTTTTCTTATAAAATGCATTCCCTTTTCCAATTACCCCCTTCTCCAATGTTCCACCTCCCACCAATGATAGCTGCCCACATTGTGTTCAGAGTCTCATGGACTCCCTTGTCTCATGACTTGAAAGAAGATTTCCAAGGCCTGATACTGAACAATCTATGGCTGTTTGTGGAGAGCAGTCCTTGTGCCATAAACTCTATTTAAAAACACTCTATACATGAACATGCAAACCAACACTACACACAAGCAAATAGGATTGCACTTTTTGTTAATTTTACCTAGCTGTGATACCTATGGATCACTACAATGGCTACCATAGAGAGATATTCCCAAAAGTACCATACTGGTGCTTTTATCTTGGTGGTAACCAACTGCTGTTTCATTGGAAGTATGGTCCATCATTAGAGGAACTGGCTACTGGTACTGTAAACCTTGTCAACTACCTGTATCTGTTTCTGCCCTATATGACCACAGGTCTTATACCTTAGATGAGAACATACTACTACCATTTTCTTAAACTAAAATTTTTTAATTGTGGTCTAAGTATTTAACTTGACATCAAGAGATAAGTATAGATCTCATCAAGGTAGTTTTCTAGTAATAATGTCTGAATCAAGTTGATACATTTACAGAGCAAACTCTATACCTGAGGCTCTAGAAAAGTCATAAAGTAGAGGACAGAAACAATGTTAAGAACTAGTGGAAATGGATTTCTACTGATAGATAGTATCTTCTATTACAGGGAAGCTGAACTCTTGAAATCTCAGCAATGTGGTTAGTTAAACAAGACCTGTACTATGACATTGCCAATTGTTTTGGCAATATGCATTGGGTGAGATTTCGAAAGGATCCCCTAGATGAGGAGATACAGGCAATCAGTTGTTGCTGAAAGAGAGAAAGAAGTAGTTTTCTTCAAGACAAGCTCCCTGATAGGTATCCCAATCATATGTGATCAGCTTTAATTACAAATCTATTGTAACAATGCTAAATGGATTAATAATATGCATATTTATACATATGTAAGAAAAATAAAGATGGGGTTATGAAATTCACAGGAAGTAGGTGGGCATGTAAGGTTTGTAAGAAGCAGGAATATTGTAAATATAGTACTTGTGTATGAAATTCTTAACAAATTAAAAGGTATATTTCTTTGCAAACTTTGAGAAAGTGGATGATTTGCGTCATTATATGTAAATGTGCAGATTGTGATAATTTTGTTCTGCATGCTATTTCATTTCTTGAAATTAAGCTGTTACATTATTTGCCCAATACTCTAGGCGCACAGGGGCAATAATATTCATTGCAATATTGTTTGGAAGATATTGATAAAAATGGAAGTGTTCATCAGTATATGTATGTAGATTGTTAAATGGGTTTAGATTTATATAATAACAGGATTGTGTCCATGCAATGAAAACAAAGCAGAGAGAGAGAGAGAGAACGGAGTTACCCATAATGAGGAACAATGCTCATACTATACCTCAGATGTCAACAAATATAAGTCCCAGTGCCTTAAATAGATTCTTTTGAAGGCCTTAGCCAATGTGGCCGCTTAGACCCACAGACTGTATAAGCTACAGCCATCGTCTTGGTTACCCAAAAGAACTTGATGGTAAGACCCTGCTGTTGAAAACAAAACCCACCTAAAGTCATAGAACAAGGGTAAAAGAACCTGGTATTGAACTAGAAGCTTCATTTCTGCTAGATAGCCTTCATAGGGCTGGAAGGTGCTATTCATGGTACTATTGTAGAAAAGAACCATGAGTATTACCTTGCAGTGAACCCTGTGAAGTACAATGATTGAGCCGACATGACATTCCAACTGGTGCAATAGTGGCATGAACATCACAGGTGTAGCCAATCAATTTCTGATTAGATTTAAGTCCTACTTCACAAGATGAAACCAATAACTGGCACTATTATTGGGCTGAAAACCTATGACTACACAGATTATAGGCCCCAGGATAGAATCTACAACTGCAATGCTTCCAAACAGACATGATATTAAATGAACTCCTACCAGCTTATTATATTCCAAAATTAATGCATCTCTCAGCCCTTTCTTTTATGGAAGCTTCTATTTGAGGTGGATGTCAAGTCACAAAATGACCGATAACTGGTCATGCAGACTTAAGAACTACATCAGGATTACCAGGAAATGGGACATACACTCATCTCCTCTTCCTCTATGGTTCAGAGATCACTGTAGAAAGGTGGTGGGAAAGAATGAGAGCCAGAGGCTTTAGATGACTAAAAGGAAACAGTGTCTCCAGGACACAACAGCACAGCTGTACCAATGAAGTCACAGGTAATGTCAAAGCATACAGCAGCCCTGCGTTAAGTCAAGCAAAACAATTCCCAGCTTGGACAAGGCAGCTAGGCATGAAGTCTCACCCTAGTCAGGGAGCTATTGACAAGTTTTTTGCTTCTGGGAGAGTCAGAGTCATTGTTCTTTAATACTGTAGCTCTGAGAAGCCAATCATATTAGTGAAAGGGAATACACCCAAGAATATTTAGATAGCAAAATTAGTCCTGATGCTTTAAAAAATGTCACAACATAAGGCTAATAGTTAAGGATGTATTCATTTGGAAGTGTAGGTAGAGGGGCTAAGTGTGAGCTAAATAACTCTCAAAAAACAAATCAGAGAAAAGGATCATTTCTCTAGCTTCTTCTTAATGTTCTAGACACTGAGCGTCCTGACCTGTAGTGATTGACTGTGGAAGGCCCTGTTACCAGTGTACTAAAGCCAACATGTTATTCACTGAGAACACTGTCTAATTCTTGATAGTGTTTTGGTTAGACCTGGTTCTTCAGAGTTCCAACAGCTTCAGTGTGTCCTTTTCTCTTGTCTGAAAACTTTACTATTATCCTTGAGATTCTGTCGTAGAATGGCAATCAGAGGACAGGTTGAAAATTCAGGCAAGATTGCTGTAGGATGATCTGTGGTAGGGTTGAGTACATGTGAGAAATTCTGATGATTCAGGACAGACTTGTAAGTATCAGGCAGCATTCACCCTTCATGCATCATAAACAGAGGGCAATAGACTCTCCTTTGAGACAAGTGATGGCAGGGTCGACTTTTTAAAATGTCGAGTGTTACCCCCACATCACAAACTCTCAAAAAGGACTGGCCCCACCTCACTGTCTTTTCCACTTCATTGTTCACCCACTGTGATCAAGAATTTTTTGCCTACATGTGTCTGGTGTAGGAGGTCCTTCTGTATTTGTGTGGAGGCTGAGGATTCATGGAGACAGGAACTTGCTCTTTCAGTCTGAAGATTTGGAAGAGGTAAAGGGTCTCTCTAGTGGTTGGCTACTTTGCTTTTCTGATCTTCTGCTAAAATCCAAATGTCTGTCTCTGGGATTTTATTATTCACGCTATAGGAAATGTAAAATTGTAATTTTCAGAAAATTCTGAAATTGAGTCACCAAGCATTTTTCTTTCAAGAAAAATGAATTATTGATAAACCCCTTTACCTCTTCAATTAGAATGACATTGAGGAAGAATAAGTCTAACAGATTAACAGGTTATTTCTTTTATGTATCAAACTAGAAGAAAACACCCACTCCCCTGGGATAGGTAAGATCAGATCTCAGTAGGAGCCTGGAGGCCCAATCTAGTCACATGATAGTCAGTCAGTAGAAGGGAAGGACTGATTGAGAGGGCGGACTCACCAGAGATGTGGGATTTAAAGCCAGGCTGAGGTGTTGCTGGACCAGGTTCTGACACCTCAGCAACCTCAGAAGAGCTTCTGGAGTGGAGTGAAGGAACAGAGGTCCTCACAGGTGAGGCCTTGCTTCTGCCACAGTAGACTAGGAATTGACCCTGGAGGAGAGCCTTGAGGAACTCCACGGAAAATCAGGCAGATCCCCAGAAATGAGAATATCTTCTCAACCCCAACAGCTGTGAGGTTGAGGAAGCAGATGGTGTAGAAGTCAGAGGGTAAACCTGGGTTCTCCTAGGTCCAGGTTTGTATAGGTTGCAACTCAGTGCAATCTGGTCCTGGCCAGAGAGAGTGACAGCTGATATGCACACCAGCGCCATGCTCATCTCATCCTGAGCCTACAGAGATCGTTGTATGACACATCAGCGCTGGACAAATTGTTCTTTTTCTGATTGACATGTGCAGAATGAGTAGCAGGTGGCGTGTCACTTGCCAGTTCTCCTAGGGAATGTTGCTTAAGAGACCCAGCAAGGCCTGAACCTAGGACTTTAGTGTTGTCTGTCTAACTCCCAATCATCATGGTTTCTCTAGCTTCCATTGGCTTTTCTGTTTGGGATTTTTTCCTCATTGATGCAATGAGTGTATTTCAAAGTCTCAATGGTCTGATAGAGTACTAGAAACTTTGATTTTTCCCCATATTTTCTAAGCAGGAAAATCTAGAATATTTCCACTCAAGAGAGAATGTTTCAAACAGCCCATATGCTGCTCAGTATTAAAGGTTCTCATGCAGTGTGATTTCAAGTCCTGGGGAAATTTGTACTTAGGATAAGATGCCATGTAAGAGAAGATTTTTACCATTACAAATCCTATGTTCACTTTATCCAAGCTCCTAGATATGTGACTTTTGAATTTGATGTCCATGCTCATCTTTCTGATCATGTCAATTTGCAGTACACAGCAGTTTCCAGGAATTTCTAGAATTTTTCTCACAGTTTCTGTAATTTTATGTAAAAACTAAATGCTATCCATGATATTTCCAGTTCAAACTCATGTTTAGCTATTTCAGAAATCTTTGAGTCAGTATTTGGGAGAGTAGTTGGAATAATTTTATCTGGCACAAATGGCTTAATTTCTCAAGAGTGTTGGTGTGTTCTCCTTTTCATTTTTCTTCTCTCTACAGGTGTTTGAGACATGATTGCTGCTGTCTTCTTAACCATCCTGTGCTTGGGACTGGCCCCAGCTGCTCCAACACCAGATTACAGTTTGGATGCTGAGTGGGAGGAGTGGAAGAGGAACTTTGAGAAAACATACAGCCAAGTAGGTCACATGGACACCCGAAGCAGTGTCTTTGTAGAGCACGTTCATTGCTGTTGGGGGTCCATGGATATAACAGAGACCATAGATGCCATCCCTACTTGAGGTATCAATGTAACAGAAGATGAGCACAAGATGGCCACTGTCTCTGCTCATTGGGTGTTGAGAGTGGCTTGCTTTAGGGTCTTGAGATTTCTCTCTACACCGTCTAGGCATATGCAGCAGCCAGTCCCCGTGGTCAGGTAGTGCAGGGGTGTAATTAGAAATGAATGTCATTCATTCTGTTTATTTCCAGGAGGAAGAAAGACATCGGAGAGCAATATGGGAAGACAATGTCAAGATGATCAAACTGCTCAGTGAGGAGAATGGCCTGGGGATGAACAACGTCACCGTAGAGATGAATGAATTTGGTGACATGGTGAGTGTGACTCAAACTGTCCCGCACTCGTTCTTTTCCTCTTCTGTTGTTTAAATTGAGTCTTTATGTGCTGTTCCCTGAAGACTGGTGAAGAGATGAGGGAAATGATGAAGGGGAGTTCAGTTCTGACTCTAAAGAATGGGAAACACATCCAGAAACGAGGAGATACCAACATCCCCAAAACTTTGGATTGGAGAACACAAGGCTATGTAACCCCCGTGCAGAGACAGGTATGACATCACATGACTGTCTTCTACTGGGGATGCAACAAGCTATTGACATGTATGTATTTGACTGGTATGACACGCTATTGACCAAACTTGTTTTCATATCTTGAATACCACAGGTATTGTCCTTAGAATTCTGTTGCTAGTAACAAATGTTTCTTGGTTGTCCCCCAAAATGAGGAATCCCTAATTCATGTCTTAGCAATTATGGGGCCTATCCAGGTGTAGAATGTATATCTAGCATTTCCACACACTACTTATTTACTCTTTAACCTCCTTCTAGTGGTCCCACTATATCTCTCTCCAGACTTAGGTACTTAGGTTCTTCCATTAATGACATTCATCACACCTGGCAACAAGTATATCAAGCCTTTATGTGCATCCATGTGTGTTTGTGTGGCCACCCACTGGGGCATAAGACACCTCTCCATGGAGACTGACTCTTCTCACCTAGGCATCTATCAAATGCTAATAGTTCATTTTTGATAAGGACTCAACTGCTTGAGTTTTTGCTGGCTATTAGTATTTGTTTGTGGATAACAATATTATCTTTCCTACTCAGGGAGATTGTGGTGCTTGTTGGGCTTTTGCTGTGGCTGGTGCCATAGAAGGACAACTGTTCAAGAAAACAGGAAAACTGACCCCATTGAGTGCCCAGAACCTAATTGACTGCTCTAGATCTTTTGGTACTACTGGTTGTAAAGGAGGCAGGCTCTATAATGCCTTCCAATATGTAAAGAACAATGGAGGTCTGGAGGCTGAGGCAACCTATCCATATGAAGCAAAGGTAAGTGGACTTACTGGGTTGTCATTTCAGTTAGGCTGGTGCAAGGGGGAAAAGGCAGAAATAATCCATTGCCTTCACTGTTCCCATTGAATGTAGACTCTTTCTGCATAGCACCAATGTTGACCATGCAGTATCCACCATGGCACAGTTGCCTGATTTCATGGTTCCATGTAGGTGTTCCTGCTTCTCTACACATGGAGAATGTGCAAAGCATTCCACATATAATACAGATTTCTGCACCATGAAAATTTCTTATAGATAGAGGTGTCATTGAAGACATGGGAGCTGATTTTCAGTTCCAATTATCCTAGTAACATTTCCCTTCCTGGAATGATTTATGATAGTGCAGATGTAGGGTTGGTTCTCTGCAAAGTGCCAAGGGTTATGGTTCTGGCTTTTGCTCTCCGGAAGGTAGAGGAAGTAACCAAATCCTTTAACTGTTCACCTTTTTAAGGAAGGACGCTGCAGGTACCGTGCTGAACGTTCTGTTGTCAAGGTTGCCCGCTTTTACGTTGTCCCAAGGAATGAAGACGCCCTACTGAAGGCTTTAGTAACTCATGGGCCCATTGCTGTTGGAATTGATGCTGGACATGAATCTTTTAAAAAATATACGGGAGGTAAGTATGTGTTTTTCTAGATATTAGTGAAGAATGCTTGTGACCCTTTGGGATGTGCCAAGTTGATATCTTAACAATGTGTAAAATTTGATGTGAGTGTTAGGGTTTATAAATTTTACACTTGTTAGTGCAGTAATCACATGTACTGTTTCTACATGACAAGACATACCTATGCACGTGTGTACTTCATTCTTTATCATATTGTTTAGCTTTGTTTACTCTACTTTTCTCTACTTGGTGTATATTAATACATGCATCTGTTGCCTTTCTAAAACTGCATTCTAAAGAGTGCCTTCAATGAAAAGGTCTATGTTCAGTTATGATTTCTTGGAATGTGATTCTATTAGCAAAAACCAAAGATATGAAAGAGTAATTTTATGTTAATAAGGGGAAGTGCTTTTCAACAAAGTTATGTTCATTTTATTTTGTTTTAGGATTTTGATGAGAATTTATAATCAGGATTTCTGTCAAGAATGGTTTCTATTTTTATTGGAATTTCTGTCATTACTGTCCAATTAGAATATGTCACACTTATTGTTGTTGACCATGGTCATATCAGGTTCCTGGTGCCTTTTACTCCACTGATTTTCTTTTTAGGTATGTACCATGAGCCAAACTGCAGACGTGATTCTTCTACGCATTCGGTGCTGTTGGTTGGCTTTGGCTATGAAGGCAAAGAGTCAGAGGGCAAGAAATACTGGCTGATAAAGAACAGGTATAAATAGCTACCACTGTTTGTATTTTAGGTTTCAAATGGAACTTTCTGCTTGTAGTGATAGTTTAGGTAGAAGTCATAGAAAGCATTGTCACAATTAAGTTGAAAAAGCAACATTTTTTCCCTTTTAGTGCTCAAATGTATGTGTTATGTGTGTGAATTTGTTTATGTGTTTGTATGTGTGCGTGTGTATTTGTAGATAGGTCTGATATTGACATTAATTGTCTTTCTAACTTGTCCTCCTTATGTATTGAGGAGTTGAGTATCACTGATCCTAGAGTTTTCTGGTTTTGGTAGTGTGCTCATTCAGTTTGTTCTAGTTACATTGGGCTTCTGTAATTACATGTTGGCTGCAGAACCATCCTAGTTTTAAAAAGCGATTTTCATTTGTTGTGAGTGTGTGTCTGTGTGAGTGAATGCTATGTGAGAACAGATGCTCATGTAGACCAGACAAAGACACTACATTCCTTACAGCTTCAGTTACAGGGGGGTGTGAATGAGTTCACACTGGGGCTCTGCTGGTGAGAACTTTTGTCCTGTGGAGGAACTCCAAGTGCTCCTAGGCACTGAGATTGTCTTCACCCTCATTTAAGCTTCCAGAGGAACTTGGACTCAAACCCCAAACCTTACCCTTGCATGATCTGGCTTTATTGTCTGATCCCTATCTTCTGGAGCACTAACATATAATATATGAATGAAAACAGAGTTCAGATTCTGTCATTGATTTCCTTGGCAATCAATATAATCTTTGTGTCATTGATTTTCTATTTATCATTGGTTATTTCTGAACAACCTGTGGGTAGAAGACGTCCTAACTTTCCCTGCTGTGACTTTTGCTGTCCTCTGTAAGATAACTCTTGGTACTCTGGAATTGACTCTACCTTTTCTGATTCTTTCTATTGCATTGGCCTCTGGCTCTGTGTTCATAAGTGGAGTTATTGTAATAATCCACTCTGCCATATCTTTTCTACTAAATGGAAAACTCAATTTTTCAGCCATGGTGAAAGTTGGGGAGAGAAAGGCTACATGAAGATTCCCAGAGA